CGCCGGCCCAGAAAAGGAAATCGTCGTCCCTGCCGCCGCCGCCTCCAGCCGCCGCCGACGCAGGCGCTGGCCCGAGGAGAGGGAAAGAGGAGAAGTAGGGGAGGGAGAGAGGGGGGTCCGGTTCCAACCCCCCCTCCTCCAAGCGACCACAGAACGCGCTCTTTCAGATGTTTGAACCACGTTCTAAAAGTGTTCAAAACATGTGCTTTCAATGTTTAAGACATGTTGTAGACATCTGGAACTTGCTTTGTTTGGCAACATGCTTTCTCTCCACTGATCCTCGTCCACAACACCACACAGCTTGCACCGATCACGTTGCATCACACAGCGCGTGCCACACAGCCTGCACCACAGAGATCACACCACACAGCTTGCATCACATCGCTCGCACCAAGAAGATCGCATCGCACAGCTTGCACCACGAATCGTTCACCACATAGCTGGCAAACTCGATCTACATCCTTACATATAGACTGTCAGTAGCACCACGCAAGCGCCAAGAGCGCATCGCACAGCTTGCAGCACACAGATTGCACATCAAGGGTGCAACAACCTGCCGCTTGGGGTCCGCGCTGCCGACGGGTCACATCCTACAAGTGCCACTTGGGCATCGAGGTCCTCTAGGACACCCAAGTCGGCATCGAAATCTTCTGGGACATCGCCATCGTTCGGACGACCGTTCCCCGTGCATGTTTCGTCGTCTTGCGTGTATTTTTTGGGGATCGATAATCCAGGATGCTCCTCGATGGTCCTCGCCGAGACCCCCCCAAAAAAAAACAGTCTGGGAGATGCCAAGAAACACCCTTGGCGGTGCTCAGGTGGCTGATACTGGGTTCAGAAGGGCCGAAACTCCCTCTCGGGAACGCACTCGCCCAGGTCAGTGCAAATCCGGGCCATCGAGCTTTGCAGGATCCTGCAAGGTTCTGCAGATCCTACACGCTAGCCCAAGTTCAGTCCAACCCTGGCTGCGAAGGATCCTATCCTGCTCGCTCTGGCCGACCCCCGTTTGCACTGGCCCCCGTCCCAAGGCTCCCGACCCCATCTTCCGAACAGCAACATCAGCAAAGTCAGAGAAGTCTGAACTCCCACAAGCGCGACAAAACGCCAAACTGTTTGGAACGCTCATTCCCCCCCCGTTTCCCACAGCGCCTGGTGCCAGATCAGCCCCCGTGCACCCACTCCCCCTCCCCAAAATTTTGGCCCCCGAGCATCGAGGGTCGAAAGGGAAGGCCTTCTGCCGTTTTGTTGCTCCTGTCGGGCCTCTGGACGCCTCCCTGGACCTTAGTGGGCCCCGGAAACGGCAGGGCCGTTTCTGTCACCGTTTCCGAAAAAATGTCCCTTGAAACTGGAAACGGTAAAAAAACGGCGACCGGAAACGGCAACTAAAACGGCTCCAGGATTGGAACCGGAGCGGGAACCTGTAAAAAAAAGGCGACGGAACCAGTAGAAAAACGGCAAAACGGAACCGGCAACAAAAACGGCAAGACGGAACAGGTAAAAAAACGGCCCTGTCGTTTCCAGGGCCCACTACGCCCTGGACCTCCAGATCGGGGCAACATCGGGGCGAGATACAGCGGAAATCCAACTGCGGCGCGCCCGCGAAGGGCGGCGCGCCGCGCGGCCGTCCGAGGGCCGCGTTCCCCTTCTGACTACCTACCAGACCACCCCAACCAAACCCGAGGACCCGAATTTGACCCGAATCTCGGGTTGGGGCTGGTACGGGTGTTCCACGCGTTTTTGTTCACTCTTCCCCGACCCCCCACACACTGGAAATGGAGGGCAAATCGAGGCCTTCGGGTTTGGGTTGGGGTGGTTTGGTGGGTGGTGACATCGGAAATCAAGATGCCGCGCGCCCGCGGAGGGCTGCGCGCCGCGCGGCCCTCCGAAGGCCGCGCTCCCCTCCGGGCCCGGGTCGGGGGCCGCGGCTCGCAGGGAGAGGAGGCCCCAGGGGGAGGTCCGCGGAGCGGCGGCGGCGACGCCGTCTTTCGGACGCCACGTGCGCAGGCGACGCTCTCCGGGGGCGGCCAAGAGGGGGGCTTCCAAGAGGGGGGGGAGCAGATCACGGCCGGCGGCGCGTGCGCGGCACAAGGGGGGGAGGGCCAGGGACGTAACGAAATAAGAAGAGGCGCCATGACATCAGGGGAAATATCATGGCCCACGCCATGATATCCACCCTCCCTAGTCAGCACCCCCCTCTTTTCCGCCCCCGATCTCTTGGCCCCCGTCGTGGAGCATGGGCCCAAGTGGCCACCCCGAGGTGCTCGCACATGGCTCAACGCGTGCGCTGCTTCGGGGATTGCCGAGAATGTTCGTGCTCCGTCGTCCTGTGGAGGCGCGAGGGGTGACGTGATAAAGTGTGGTGCCAATGCTGGCATCTGGCGATGCGATGCGTCGTACATATTACTGCCGTTTCCACGATCGGCACCACACCCCTCTATGCCACACCCTCGTCCGACCTCCACAACCGTGTCTTCGCCTCCCCATGGTCGCCGCCCGGTGCGGCGGGGAGGGGGGCGGGCCACGAGGGAGTCCACGGCGTTCGCGGCGGCCGCCGCGTGCGCAAAAGTGGCCTGGCGCGGCGCCCTGAACCCCTGTGCCCGGGAGAGCCGAAGGCGCCCCAGACAGAGGGGGCCGTGACCCCACAGTCGTTGAGGGCTGAATGATTTTTGTTGTCCCTCGATTCGCGCTGGAACGGCCATGATTTGTTCTTCATACTGCCTCTGACATGCCTGGATATGTTCCCGCCGATTCCCCAATCAGTGTTTGCACGTGGGGGGTAGTACGTCCTGCCTGCCCGTCGCCGCCTCGTCGCCGCCAGTCGCCTGGGCCTGCGTGTTGGTCTGGCGGCTGTCGTCGCCGTCGCCACCCCGTCGCCGCCTCGTCGCCACGGATCGCACCACATATATTGCGCACCAGATAGATTTCACAACACATACTCTCTGTTTTAGGAAAGGGTCAATGGACCTCTCCCCTCCCTTCCTCGGACTTGACAGGTCCCACTTTCGTATTGCAATATGCATGTGAGTTTGCACCATCGTCCATCCCGAATCTGAGCTCGAATCATCCCAGCCAGACCAGTAATCCCCCTCCTTCACCCATTGAAAAAATGTTGTGCGCGCGCTGTCGTTTATCAAAAGCGATGCAAAAACTGGACGCAGTGACCTCGCGGGCGTCGTCGCGCGCGCATGCCGGAATCCTTCAACTGCGCTTTGTTGTCGAGAGGATGTTGAAATTGAGTGCCACGAAATCATATAGAAACAAACGGCTTCGCGACACAAAGTCTCAAACATGCGTTCGGGCCCCTGCGGCTTCTGAAGAGACCATACGTTGTCTTACAACATGTTACACGACAAGCCTATCGCATGCGCATGTCGGAATCGCAAGAAAGCCCTTTTGCGCGAGCGCTGTTGCAAGAACTCTCTCTTCTTGTTTATATATATATATATACACACACATTACTCCGACGGCAGGACCCCACACGAGAATCTGTTTAGCTTACCCTTCGCCCTTTCCTCCTCCCCCTGGCGGACACCCTTTCCCCTCGCCCTCTGCACTGCCCTCTCTTCCTCATTTTATTCCTATTCCTACTTCTCCTCCTCCTCCTCCTCCTCCTCCTGCTCCTCCTCCTCCTCCTCCTCCTCCCCTTCTCGCGCCACCTCCTCCTCGTCGTCGCCCTCCCCCATGCCCCTTCCCTCCTCATCCTCCTGCTTCTTTTCCACGTGCACCTCCCGCCCCCCCTGGTCGCGGCAAGCAACTCGATTTTCCTCGGCGCCGTCGCCGCGTCGGCCAGCGCGCGCGCGCACGCCGACGGCTAGATCGCGAAGCCGTCGGGGCAACCCTTCGGGCCAGGCCGTTGGGGCAACCTCGCAGGCCGCAGGGGCGCGGGAGCCAGCCGCTGGGGCAACCCCGCGGGCCTCTAGGCGCGCGCCGCGGCGCTCAGGCGGGCGGCAGCACGAAGCCCAGCTCTGCCGCGAGCTGCTCCGCCTAAGCCCTGGAATCCAAAGCTCTCTCGTCGAACTCCTGGGGCGCCTTCCGCAGCGACGCCGGCGGCCCGCGCTCCAGGAACTCTCGCGCGGGCGGCCGCAGGATCAGCATGTTCCGCACGCACGTGGCGCGGGAGAACATGACGTAGAGGTGCAGCCACCACATCTCGTCCGACATGCCCGCGCGGCCAGCGTCCTCATCCCTGGCGCAGTCGACGGCGACGCCCTTGCGCAGCGTCTGGCCCTGCGACAGCGCGGAGGTCAGGTAGGACGCGCGCGCCAGGGTGAACCCCGAGCGGCGCACAGCGTGCGCCCCCGAGCTTTGCCACGTGAACTCCTGCTCGCTGGGCCTGAACACGAGCAAGCCCCTCGCCCGCGCTTCGGCCTCGCCGTCGTCGGCAGCGCCATCGGCGCCCTGCAGCAGCACCTCGGCGACCTCCTTGTAGATCGGGGACTCCTGGAAGCCGCGCACCTGCAGCCAGATTCCCCGCGGTAGGAAGCGGGGGCGGAAGAGCTGGCCCGGCGCGCACTCCTCGTAGCCCCGCTCGTCGTCTGCGTGAAACTCGAAGGACACGATGGTGGCCCGTTGCTCCTGCACGAGCCCCAACTTCTTCTTCAGCTCCTCCTGCACGGCCGCGAACCGGACCTCCATGCCGACGTGTGCCGGTAAGACGCCGTGGATGTCTGCCGTCTTGTGCATGTTCGGGACGTTCATGAGGCGCCGGCCTGCGTCTGGGTCGCCTTGAATCGTGCCGCACTCGTCTACGGCCTGCAGGAAAACGAGGGGGGCACCGAGGCGCCGCGCGTCGCGACGAGGGCGCGTGTTGATCCACCTCGCCAGCGTTTCCCAGTAGATGCCCATGCCGTAGCCGAGCCGGAAATTCTCGTGCTGGCGCCGTGGGTCCAGGACGCCGTGGTTGTCCGAGGCCAACGTCTTCTCCCAGGCAGACCAGACCTCTGGTGGGAAGCGCTTGCCCTCGCGCGTGCAACCCAAGAACGCGATCAGAGGGTCCCCCGGCTCGAAGCGCTTTGTGCCCTTCAGCTCGAAGACGCAGGGGATCTGAGAGAAGACCCTGATGGCGTGCTGGATCTCCACCGTCGGCGGCTCTGCGTACTTGTACGACCCTTTTCCGTCGTCCAGGCGCTCGCTCACGTCCGTCAGGAGCCCGATGCTGCCGGTCGGACGCCGCGGCCGTGGGGCGGCGGAGCCTCTCGGACCTCCACGCTGTCGCATGACTACAACAAGTTTGCCGACGACCAGCTCGGACGATGTTACCCGGACTTCTCAATCGCCCTTTCGGGCACGCAGGCCCATGACAACAACAATTTTGCCCGCGACCAGTTCAGACGAACGAGACTCCCGCTTGGTAACTCCCCGGTATTCAGGCCGCAGGAGCGAGTTCTAAAATCCGTCCTCAGACCTCCGAGTGACGACAGGAGACGGTCCTCTGACGGGGCTACCCGCACCGCCCACAGACAAAGTTCCCCCTTGATACTTCCCCCGTGTTCAGGCCGCAGGAGCTGAGGAGTCCAAAAAGCTCGCTCGGATGACCCGCTCGGGTTCGAACATGAAGTGCGTGCCCCATAGGGAGGGGGCTCCCGCCTGAGACTTCCTCGCCATTCACTCACAGACGAGGCTCCCGCTCGAGACTTTCTTCATATTCAAGCCTCAAGAGCCCAAAAGTGACGACAATTACAGGGTTCCGATGACCCGCTCGGATTAGTTACATGATCGGCGGGCCCCATAAGGAGGGCGCCCCAGCCTGAGACGTCCTCGCAATTCACTCAGAGACGAGGCTCCCGCCTGATACTTCCTCCATATTCAGGCCTCAAGAGCCCAAAAGTGACGACAGTTACAAGGTTCCGATGACCCGCTCGGATTAGTAACATGATCTGCCGGCCCCAGGGGGGGGGCAGGCAGGCAGCCAGGGCAAGGGGGGGAAACAGGAGGGGGAGGGGGAGGAGGAGGAGGAGGAGGAGGAGGAGGAGGAGGAGGAGGAGGAGGAGAGGGAGGAGGGGGGGAGGGTGAAGAGGAGGAGAAGGAGGAGGAGGCGGAGGAGGAGGAGTAGGAGGAAAAGCAGGAGGACGGGGCAACGACAGGGCGGGACCGGCATAGGGGGGACACATCGACCTGACATCGGCGATACGTCGCCGATGGATCGGCGAGGGGCTCCCGAAGGCGAACCCGCACATTTCTGAAGGATGGGGCCATCGGGGCCCCTCTTGGCGATCCATGGGCGATTGGGGGACGATGCATCCCCCCCTCTGTGCCATCCCGCTTGTGAGGAGGGAGGGAAAGCGGGCAGGAGGGACGGAGGGACGGCACCAGAAAGCGGCGGAGGCGGGCCTCCAGCGTCGGTATTGCGATCGCGCCTGGCGGCAGACTGCACGGGGAGGAGGGGGAGGAGGGGGAGGAGGAGGAGGAGGAGGAGGAGGAGGAGGAGGAGGAGGAGGCGGAGGAAGAGGAGGAGGAGGGAGGGAGGAGGAGGAGGAAGAGAGGGAGGAGGAGGAGGACGAGGAGGAGGAGGAGGACGGCGAGGAGGAGAAGGAAGGAGGAGGGGGAGGAGGAGGGGGAGGAGGAAGAAGAGGAGGAAGGGGAGGAGATGATGAGGAGGAGGCGGAGGAGGAGGACGAAGAGGACGAGGACGAGGAGGAGGAGGAGAAGGGAGAAGAGGAGGAGGAGCGCTCCTCCGCCGAGCCGCCGACCACTGCATTGGCGTAGATGGCTTCTGCCTGGACAGACTTACCGAACCTGGCTTCGGCAAGATGGGAAGGGACATGGACGAGGACGAGCGGGGCAGACTGAGCATCCGCAAGACCAGGACTCATGCCGCAGGGTGTCTCCCATGAACATGGTCACGTGGCCCGAGAGAACGGCGAGGCCAGCGTCTTGGCGGACATCCCTGAGCACTTCGACCCAAACCGACAACTCGGAACGCGGGGCCGTCGGCTTAAGGCTGCCCGGCTGCCCACTACAGGGCAGTTTTCAATACATGGGATTTCTAAACATATAGGATGTATAATACATGAGTAATGCATGACTAAATTTATGCATGAACTCATCCTTGTTTTTAATCCTACATCCCAACATTTCTAATACATGATCCGCACACGGAGCATGTATTAAAACCGGCGCTGTAGCCCCGTGCACCCCGAGTCCCGAGCAAGCCGGGTCGCGGAGACACGGCGGCTAAAACCCCGGGCGGCACGGCGCAGCGCGGGCCTCTCGTGGCGGCGGCGGCCTCCCTGGGCCCTCTGCAGCATGGCCCCCCCCGACAAGGGGCCACTCCGCAGCGCGAGGCCACTCGATCCCACGGGGCTCAGGGGTGGTGGCTCGAGCCAAGGGACCTGCTCGCACTTCTCCAGAGCCTGGCGCGCCACGTTCGGGTCGGGCGGAAGGGGGGGATAGCAAAGGGGGGGGGGGGAGAATCAGCTCACGTGGCTGATTTTCCCGGCGCCTCCCGGCGCCAGAGGCGGCTATGTGTCGAGGAATGGGCCCCTCGGTGGGGCCGAAAACAGCTGCATGCAGCAGATTTCGTAACCCCCCCTTTCCCAATCCCCCCCTTTCGTCCGGCCCGATCTCTGGGGTTACGTTGCTCCCATCGTACTTCAGGACCACATCCCAGAAATAAGTTCGAACACCCGGAAGAGTGTCGACAGAGTGTCGAAACAGTGTCGGACGAGTGTCTCCCAGGGCCCGGCACGTGAAAACCCACGAGATTCGGTACTTCCTTGGTGCTCGAAATTCTTTCTGGTGTTCAAGGCGAAATTAGGTTGAACCTCCGAACTCTGGGGATCCCGTACAACGCTGACGTAGATCGCCAATGCGGCAACTGGCCTGGGATCTTCCGAATCTGGCCCACAAGCCCCCACCAGCTACGATGCGGACCATGCTGGTTGAGGGCCAGCTGCCATGATGCTTCGGAGCGCCCCGCCAAAGCCGAACCGCGCGCCGCTCCACCCCCCCCGCGATCCTCCGTCGAAGTGCTTCGAGGCCTAGAGCCACGCGCGAGACCCGGCGGTGGCCCCGAGAACGCCTTGGAGCCGGGGAATCGACGATTAACTGTGTCTGTGTTTTTCCCTCCGGAGAACAACACACACGCCACACCCAGGGGGGACGGCGGGGGGCTGCGGGGGCGCGTCGTCGGAGTGGGGGTCCCCGCTCGATCGGGAGCCTCCCCAGGAGGCCGACAGCCCACACCCATACCCATAGCCAGGCCGCCTCCCTCCGACCCCCCTATGGGTATGGGTGTGGGGTGTGGGTTGCTCGCTCGTCAATACCCCGCTAATTAGGGTCATGGTCCTATTATGTGATTTCGGGTCTGCATAGCCGAAGCCGTTGACAATACACGCGATGCACCGACCACGCAGGATACACGTCCAAGTGCGGAGCACTTAGCGCGTGTAGGCTTATTCCCAATTACACGCTAAGAATAGAACCGTGACCCTAGAGGCCTCCTAGATGGGGGCCTCCTAGATGCGGTCGGAACATCGCGCCGCATCGCCGATACATCGGCGATACATCGGCGATGCATCGGCGACGTCAGCGACGCATCGGCGACGACGGCGTGCAGGAAAGAGGGCTCCACATCGATCCGCACCGCGGATGCATCGGCGATGCGGAGTGATTCTCTGACCCCATCGACTCCGACCCCATCTGGGAGGTCTCCTCTGGATGGGACAATAATCGCCCCCCCCTCGAATCCGCTGGGGAAGGTGGGCACGTGCTGTCGGCACAGGTGAAGGGGGGGCTGGAGGGAGGGCTGGAGGAAGAAGAGGAGGGGGAGGAGGACGGAGGGGGCGGGATTGGGTAAGCTCAGTCGAGACGCGAATCACACACACACACACACACCCTTGAGCAATACCTCCCCTCCTCCACCTCCTCCTCCAAAGTCGAGCCCCTATCGCTGCCCCCGGTTCTCAGGGCGGAGAGCGGCTCGTCTGCCCGGAAGCGCGCCTGACTCCGGGGCGGACGCGCCAGGGCTGGCTCCTCCGGGCGTGGGCATGCAGGCCCGCGAGACCTGGCACGCACGGCGGGGGAAGTAGGGGGGGGGAGGAGGAGGAGGAGGAGGAGGAGGTGGAGGAGGAGGAGGAGGAGGAGGAGGAGGAGGAGCATGGAGGAGGAGGAGGAGGCTGCAGGAGGAGGAGGGAGGGGGGGCTTCGCGCACGTCGCGGGGGCGAGGGCGGACTTCTGGGAAGGGGGGGGGAAGAGGAGGGGGGGAGCGAGGAGGAGGAGGGAGGAGGAGGAGGAGGAGGAGGAGGAGGAGGAGGAGCGAGGAGGAGGAGGAGGGAGGAGGAGGAGGAGGAGGAGGAGGAGGGAGGAGGAGGAGGAGGAGGAGGAGGAGGAGGAGGAGAAGAAGGAGGGGTGGAGGGGGGAGGGGGCTCGCACACGTCGCGGGGGCGAGGGCGGACTTCTTGGAAGGGGGGGGAAGAGGAGGAGGGGGGGAGCGAGGAGGAGGAGGAGGAGGAGGAGGAGGAGGAGGAGGAGGAGGAGGGGTGGGGTGGAGGGGGGGGGGGCGGTGGCTTCGCGCACGTCGCGGGGGCGAAGGCCGACTTCTGGGAAGGGGGGGGAAGAGGAGGAGGGGGGGGGAGCGAGGAGGAGGAGGAGGAGGAGGGAGAGGAGAGAGGAAGGAGGGGGAGGGGGAGGAAGACTAGGCGTCTCGAGAAAAGCGGGACGGGAGTTTTTCATCGTGTTCGGCCTCTCGGGGCACTTACTGGGCCTCGGGACCGTCAAGCAACGACTCGGGACGACACAACTCCTAAGATTCCCGATCGTTTGTGGATATGTTCTCGATGGTCGTCCCCCGCCCCCCCCGATTTCCCATAGTTTTCCATCTTCCTGGGGATCGGTGATTATGTGTGTCTGTGTCTACCTTTTCCCTCCAGGGTCTCCAACCTTAGAGTGAGGGCGGACTGCGCGCAGGGGGGGGAAGAGAGCAAGAGAGCCGAGAGCCTTCGTCATCCCCCTGCTCCTCCGCACGCCTCCCTATCCACCTCGCCCTCCTCCCTCCTGCCCCGCCTCCGCCCTATTCCTTCTACTCCTCCTGCCCCTTTCCCCCTCTTCCTCCTGGCCCTCCTCACCTTCCCTCGCCATCGTCATTAGCATCATCATCATCATCATCATCATCATCATCATCAGCATCATCATCATCATCATCATCATCATCATCATCATCATCATCATCATCAGCATCATCATCATCATCATCATCATCATCATCAGCATCATCAGCATCATCATCATCATAATCCTCATCCTCATGCTTATCCTCATCATCAGCAACAGCCTAATCATCATCCTGATAATGAACATCAGCAGCATCATGGACATCAGCATCCTCAACGGAACTCACCCTCATCCGCATCATCAGCATCATCATCATCATCAGCAGCAGCATCATCATCATCACCATCATCATCATCATCATCATCCTCATCATCATCATCCATCAGCATCAGCATCAGCATCATAATTAACATCATCATACTCAGAATCAGCATCATCATCATAATCAGCAGCAGCGGCATCACCATCTGCATCATCATCACCATCAACAGCCTTACCATCCTCAGCATCATCAGCCATCAGCATCCTTAGCATGAGCATCAGCATCATCAGCAGCATCGGCATCACCATCAGCAGCAGCAGTATCATACTCGTCATCACCAATAGCATCACCACCACCACCACTTCTATCGCATCAGCATCATCATCATCCGCAGATGCATCACCAGCATTATCAGCTGCAGCAAAAGCAGCATAGGCGTCAGCATCAGCATCAGCATCAGCATCAGCATCAGTCGTCGACATCTTCATCAGCAGCGTCATCATCAGCATCATCAGCATCAAAAACATCATTATAATCTTCATCATCAACATGATAATCATCGCCGTCACCCATCACCATCACCACCACGCTCACCATCATCAGCACCATGATCATGATTACCTGCCGCCGCATCAGACACAGCATCAGCATCATCAGCAGCAGTAACGCCGTCATCCGCATCATCATCATCATCATCATCATCATCATCATCAGACGCAGCATCATCAGCAGCATCATCATCAGCAGCATCATTATCAGCATCATCATCGACATACTCATCGTCCTTTCATCCTCGTCATCGTCGTCATCGTCACCATCCGCACCATCATTATCTTCACCACCATCATCATCATAAGTACTTATATTTGCATCATATAGTCGTCGTCGTCGTCATGATGGACGTCGTTGTCATCATCAGTATCATCGTTATCGTAATCATCACCACCGCCACCACCACCATGATGACCACAATCATTATGCCAATGATCACCATCATCGAACATCACCATGGTCATCGCAATAATAAGCAGTAGTTTCATCCACGCCAACAACATCAACATGATCGTAATACATATCATCATCGCCATCATCATAATCATTGTCACCATCATCGCCGTCGTCACTATCACCACCGCAACCGGCATTACCATCGTCGTCATCTTCGTCCTGCTCGTCATCCCACCGCCCTCTCGGTTCATCCTTCGTCATCATCCCCACGCATCCTCATCCCCCTCCTCTCCAAGCATCCACAGCATTATCATGCGTACCCTCCTCCTCATTGTGTTTACCCCATTCGCTTCGATCCCCGCCTATCCCCTCCCCGTCCATCCTCCAACTCCCACTCCTCATCCTCCTCCTGCTCCTTCTCCCCTTGCGTCTCCTCGTTATCGCATTCATTGATATCCTCATCCTGTTCGTCGTTATCATAGCACTCCCCTCCCTCATCTACACCAGGGGAGGGGCCAGGGGGGAGGACTAACTACGAAACACTTCGAAGACGAAGCCAGGACGAGCACACGTTCGGGTGAGGATAAAGCGAGAAGCTCTGAGACCCAGCGGCTCTGGAGGATGCCTCGGGCGCCGCGGCCTTCTCAGAGCTTTCCGGCACGCTCTGAGAGCATTCTGGAACACTCTGGAACGGACTTCTTTTCGCCCTGGCCCCGTCCGATCTTCTCTCGCAATCGAGAAACTCTGAGACCCGGCGGCTCTGGAGGAGGTCTCGGGCGCCGCGGCCTTCTCAGAGCGTTCCGGAATGCTCTCAGAGGCTTCGCGGAGGCTGACCTTCGACGACCGGCGGGTGCCCTTCGGATGAGGGGACCTGCCTGGTCTCACCGTCAGTTTCGGCCGTACCCTCCGCACTTCGTGCGCACCCGTCGCGGGCCGCGAAAGGCGCCGCACCAGCTCCCGCGCGGGGGCGGGGCCTCGGCGACGAGGTCCTGCGGGGGGGGGCACAGGAAGGAGGGGACAGGGGCACAGAAGCACGAGGGGGAGAGTGAAGCCCCTCCTCGCCCTCCGCCCGCTCGCCCTTCCTCTCCACCTCCACATCGTCGACTTGACCACTCCCGTCATCGTCCTCATCAGCACCCACGGATGACGGGCCCATGCGGGGCAGCACGAAAGCATCGGATGCTCTCTGCGACGGACCCTCGATTGCACACGACTAGTTTCACTCTGTGTGTTGCTTGGTCCTGATGTCGAGTAAAAAAATCAACATCAGGAGCATCATCATCATCATTTTCATCTTCAGCATCAGTAGCATCATCATCAGCATCATTATCATCGTCATCATCATCAGCATCACCAGCATCATCATCAGCATCATCGTCATTGAAATAATCAGCAGCCGCATCAGCATCAGCATCATCATCAGCATAATCATCATCAGCATCATCAACATCATCAACATTATCATCATCAGCAACAATATCATCGCCATGCTCATCCATACCACCACCACTACTTCCGCCATCACCAGCATAGTCGGCATCGACATGGTGATCCACCTCCTCCGCCGCTTCCACTTCATCGGCATCATCATCATCATCATCATCATCATCATCATCATCAGCAGCATGATCATCATCTTCATCAGCATCAGCATCATCAGCATCACCATCACGAGCGTCATCATCATCAGCAGCATCACCATCATCAGCGTTATGAGCGCCATCATCAGCAGCAGCAGCATCATCGGCATCATCAGCATCATCATCAGCATCATCATCAACAGCATCAGCAGCAGCAGCAGCAGCATCAGCATCAGCATCAGCATCATCATCGGCATCAGCATCAACCTCATCATCAGCAACAGCATCAGCATCAGCATCAGCATCAGCATCAGGATCAGCATCAGCATCAGCATCAGCATCATCATCATCATCATCATCATCATCATCATCATCGCTACGATCATCAAAACCACCACCACCACTACCGCCATCACCATCATAGTAGGCATCAACATGATTATCCACCTCCTCCGCCGCGTCCACGTTATCATCATCACGAGCATCCTCAGCATCCTCAGCATTAGCATCATCATCATCAGCATCACCATCAACAGCGGTGTCAGTCCCATCATCATCAGCATCAGCATCATCATCACCACCACTACCACCATCACCATCACCACCATCACCACCATCTCCATGCATGCACGTATGCATGCACACACACACACACCTGTCGATATACATACACAGATGCATAAATGCATGCATACACAAACACAGACACAGACACAGACACAGGCACAGACACACGCACACACACACACACACACTGACACTGACACTGACACAGACACAGGCATTCAAACATGCAAACATGCAGACATGCAGACATGTATGCATGCATAAACACATGTATTGCCCTTCCTCACTTTGTACCCTGCGCGGGCACGGAAACGAAGAACGCTGAACATTCCTCACTCCTCCGACCTCCTCCTCCGCCTACTCCTACTCCTACTCTCACTCCCACTCCCACTCCTCCTCCTCCTCCGCCTCCTCCTCCTCCTTCCCATCCTCTCCATCCACCCCCCTCCGGCGTCGCCGACAATCTCCCTCTCCACCTCCCTCCCCTCCCCCCTCACCATCCATCTCCCTCCGCCTACTGTTCATCTTTACGTATCCCCGAGGGCCCTGCAGCTTTCCTTCGGGCCCTGGAGTTTCTCACAGACTGCCAGCAGGTTATCGATAGATGGGTCCAGAGACTTGCCTAGCGCCCCAGGGGATGCCACGTTCGCTGGTGGACTCGAATCCAACGCGCCCTCGACCAAAGGGGAGAGGGAGTAGTGGTGCTCTATCAGATCTTCTCGCACTTGGATGTCGACTTCCATGTTAGGGCTCGACCAAAACAGTGTTTTCGCTGTCGTTTTGACTTCGTTCTCCCTCGTTTCCTCTTCGTTCCGCCTTCGCCGTAAGACGAATTCCAAACGACTGTCCCATGCGCGCTCTGGTCAGGACCCTCGACTGTCTCGAGGGAACGAGATCGCGGATCAGCTGGCCCAGCGTTGAGCGGAGACCGCCACCGCCCCGATACACCACCCTGTCGAGGCCCCTTGGAGCTGCCGGCGCACGGGCCACACTCGTGTATCAGAGGATCGGGGTGGTCTTGGCCCAGCCCTGCTCTGAGATCGATTTTTTTGCGATCGCGCGGGGTTTGGGGGCTAAGTCGGTCCTTTCTCGGGCACGTCGCGGGTTTGGGAGCTCGAGGCCCGATCTGTTCACTCGAATCGGGGTCTGGTCGTGCAAGACGTGCCGACAGTCCCCCGGTAGGCATTTCTTCATAGCTTGGCTCCTGAGTGCAGGCTGTCTTTGGGACGCTTTTAAGAGGGACCTTAGCGAGCAGGGCCACCACGTCCATATCCCCCACACCTGACCTGTATTCGTGACTTGCGGGTAGGTTCTACGTCTGTGCGCCCATCCCACTCCATCGCAATGCTGAATGGTCTGGCTTGGTGATGGGCATGCGCTCGGTATGCCCCGATTGATGCAGGTACTGGCCGTATCCTCAAGCTGGCTCTCGAGAGCCGACGTGCGCGAACCTCGCCGGGTCAGGTGATGATCAATCGGCTCTCGAAGGGTCTCCCCCCCAAGGCGGGGATGCGGCGGCTCATTTCCCCTAGTGGGGGAGGCGGAGCTCCTCTCCCCGTCGTCGGCAGCAATGCCAAAACTATGGAAGGAGGACCGACGAGAAGGTAGGCCGCTCGCGTACGAGCCTCAACCCCCCAGCACAGCAGCGGCCAAATTCTTTACGACGATTGATCGCGCCGGACACTTTTCGCGTTCAGTATCCGGCGCTGGCCGCTGCGAGCGTAACATTTGATGTTTTTCGGGGGGCGTAGATCTGTTCCGACCCCTGTTGTGTGAGTAGTCCTGAGTATTCCTCCTCCTTCTCCTCCTCCTGCTTCTCCTCCTCCTCCTCATCCTCATCATCGTCTACCTCCTCCTCCGCCTCCTCCTCCTCCGCCTCCTCCTCTACCTCCTCCTCCCTCCCTCCTCCTCCTCCGCCTCCTCTTCCTCCTCCTCCACCTTTTGCTCCTCCTCCTCCTCCTCCTCCTCCTCCTCCTCCTCCTCCTCCTCCTCCATCCCCTCCTCCTCCTCCACCTCCTCCTCCTCCATCCCTCTGCCCTCGCAGGGACGACCCCCGAACAATCTAGCGCAGAAGCCAAGGCGCGGGGGAGACCCAGCGCCGTTCCGCGAGCTCACTCCGCTGCTCAGCACGCCCATGTTACCCCGCCCCTGTGCCCCAAAAGGCCGTCTGCGGTGCATTCTCGAGCCACCAGCCCTCTCGACCGCGGCCGCTTCTCCGAGGCCGGCCTCTCATCCCGAGCCGTTGTCTGACGGTCCTGGGGCCCGAAGCAGGAGGCCGGCAGGGGCGAGACACCGGCCGCCACGACCTCGTCGAGGCGCAGGGTGCCTGGGCCTGGCTGCTCTCTCGAGCGGCACATCCCCACCAAGCTCGGCAGACGGTCGCCAGAAGCACGGGCGGATGCGCTGGTGCCACAGCAGGGCACAAGTGCATGGCGCACCGCGGACCCAGCAAGCGGTTCGTTCAGATCGACGCCGAAGTGTCCACCCAGGTCGAGGCGACGATCCAAGTCAAGACCCTTCAGTCCATCGCGATCGGGAGAAGAAGGCCGAGCTCGGCGTCAGCAACAACGAACATCGACCGAACCGACAGCGATATTGTAACCGACCGAAGCCGACCGAGAGGCCACAGGCAGCCTGGAAGGTAGCAGCAACGCTGTACGAACACAACAGCCGAGCGAACCGAACCGAACGCGACGGACTGCGACGCAGCCGAACCAACCGACCCGCGCCTTTAGCGGCCTCCTAAATGGGGTTCGAGTAGATGGGGTCGGAGGATCGGGCCGCATCCCCGAAGCATCGCCGATGCATCGGCGATGCAACGTCAACGACCACCATGATGCATCAGTGACGTCGGCGTGGAGAACATTGGGCTCAACATCGAGCCACAGCGGCGATGCATCGGCGACGCATCGACGATGCGGCAAATCCTCCGACGACATCTGCTCCGACACAACCTGGGAGGCCTGGAGGATGAGCACACCGCTGAGCCCATCCCTGTCCCCACTGCCGTGGCCTTGGCCCTTGGCCCCACGGTGGCCGACTCCCTCGGGCTTCGCAGGGCCTAGCCCCACCGAGGGTGGGGGGGATGGTGGGGCCGAGACGACATGGCCCCAGGGGGATGGGGATCGCTTAGAGGGCACTGACGATCTGCCCGAACCTCGGCTGCACGTCAGAAAGACCCTGGGCAAGAATGACCCTTGGTGCGCGACGTGACGGAAGACTCGGGGTGGTCAAGCCAGGGCGCGCCAGCCGTTACTGCCGCTCCGCGTCAATCGGGGGACCCAATTGGGCCCGCACCATGGGTCACTCCGGCGAAAGGTCACTCCTGCGTGTAGTCGAGGACCCCATCTGTAGGAGGCAAACGAGCCTACCTCGCTTTTGACCAACCTCGCTTCCAAAAGATACCAAACGACACCAGGCTACGGCCAGCACCAATCAGGCCGCTCGACGAGGAGGCGCGCGGGATGGCTTGGTTTCGCCCAGAAGCGAAAAGCGGGGCAGGTAGTTGACGCTCTGAATCTAGATGACGTCGGAGGATCGCGACGCATCGACGATGCATCGGCGACGCATCGGTGATGCACTGGTGATGCATCGTCGACGCCGGCGATGCATCGGCGACGTCGGCGTGAAAAAATCGGGCTCCGCGTCGAACCGCACCGCCGATGCATCGGCGGTGCGAAGCGATCCTCCGAGACCACTCGCTCCGACCCCCTCTGGGAGGCCGAGAGAACCTGTGATGGGCCGATTCTCCACCACCCGTACCGCAAGTAGGAGAGGGAGAAGAAGGAGGAGGAGGAGGAGGAGGCAGAGGCGGAGGAGGAGGAGGAGGAGGAGGAGGAGGCGGAGGCGGAGGAGGAGGAGGAGGAGGCGGAGAAGGAGGAGGCGGAGGAGGAGGAGGAGGAGCTGCCCGTCCTCCCTTCTCCCCCCCCTCCCACCTCTGGCAGCGGCGGGGGGAACCCGGCCCAGCAGCCGGGGAGGCCTCTGGAGGCTCGGGGCCTCGCGCGAGGAG